CTTCTGCTATTCTGGTGTACACCATGCATATCCTACTCTAGGACTTTTGTACTGCCTAAATTTTTTTTTTTTTTTAGAGACAGAGTCTTGGTCTGTTGCTCTAGTTATAGTACAGTGGTATCATCATAGCATCGTAGCTCACTGTAACCTCAAGCAATCCTCCTGCCTCAGCCTTCCAAATAGCCAGGACTACAGGCATGTGCCACCATGCCCAGCTAATATTTTTAATTTTTTGTACAGACAAGGTCTAGCTTTTGTTCAAGCTGGTCTTGAGCTAGTGGCCTCAAGGAATCTTCTGGTCTTGGCCTCCCAAAGTTCTAGGATTACAGGCATGAGCCACCATGCCTGGCTGTGGCTAATTCCTTTGCCTAGAGTATTCTTCCCCAAGATATCTACAAGACTAACTCCTCTTTCAAACATTTGTTCAAATGTCCCCTTTAAATGAATCCTATCATAGCCATTCTACTTCCAATTGCAACCTACTCCATATTCCCAAACACCCCTTTAGCACTCCCAGTATCTCTATAGCAGTTATCCATTGCTATAATAATGTGACATAGCAAGCAGAACCAAACCTTTATGGCATAAAGCAATAAGAATTTAGCTTAAAAGACTACAGATTGGCAATTTAGGTTGAGCTTGCTAAGACTTTCTTCTAATTTCAACTAGGTCAACTCACAAGATTTTGGGGGCTAAGGGTATAGAACAAGGTCATGTATTATCTTTCATTCTATGGCGGGCTAGCTTAGGCATCTTCCCACATGTCAATCAGAGAGGAACAGAAGAAAGAATCTGAAAATAGGAAAATTGAAAATTTCTGAAGAGCAGAAAGCAAAAATAAAAGTGAACAAAGTCTAAGCATCTGTGGTGCACCATCAAATGTAACAACATACACATTGTGGGAGTCTCAGAAGGAAAAGAGAAAGAGACAGAAATTATATTTCAAGATATAGTGGCTAATAACTTCCCAAATTTGATGAGAGATATCAATCTACACATCCAAGACCTCAATGAACTCCAAGTAGAATAAACTCAAAGAGATCCAAATTGAGACACATTATAATCAAGCTGTCCAAAGTCAAAAATGAGGAGAGAATCTTAAAATTAAGAAGAAAATCTTTATGACCTTGGATTTGAAAATAATTTCTTAACTATAACACCAAAAGCACAGGAAACAACAACAACAAAAAAAAAAATTGGTGGGGCATGATGCCTCACACCTTTAATCCCAGCACTTTGGCAGGCCAAAGTGGAAGGATCACTTGTGCCCAGGAATTTTGGATCAGCCTAGACAAAATAGTGAGATCCTGTCTCTAGAAAAAAGAAAAAGAGAAAAAAAAACCAAGCCAGGCATGGTGGCATGCACCTCTAGTCCTAGCTACTTGGGAGGCTGAGGGAGGATAATCACTTGAGCCCAGTACTCCAAGGCTACAATGAGCTATGATTTCACCACTGCACTCTAGCCTGAGTGACAGAGTAAGAGCCTATCTCTTAAAAAAAGAAAAAGATTAAGTTGGACTTTATCAAAATTTTAAAAATTCTGCATTAAAGGACACTATCAAGAGAGTGAAAAGATAACCCATAGAATGAAAGAAAAGATTTGTAAACCATATGTCCTATTAATAAAAGAGATTAATGTCCAGAATATATTAAGAACTCCTATAAGTCAACAAAATATCCAAAGAATTCAAAATGGACAAAGGATTTGATATTTGAATTATTTCTTCAAAGAAGATACATAAAAGGCCAATAAGCACATGAAAAGATGCTCAGCATCACTAGTCATTAGAGGAATGTAATGGAAACCACAATGAGCTGCCACATCACACCCACTAGTATAGCTGTCATAAAAAGAAAATGGAAGATAACAAGTGTTAGAGACAAAATGGAGAAATTAGAATTGTCATAAGGTGGAACCAACTCAAGTGTCCATCAACAAACAGATGAATGAATAACAAGTTGTAGCATTTACATACAAGGGACTATTATTCAGCTGTAAGAAGAAATGAAGTTCTGACACATGCTGCTACAATATGAATGAACCTTGAAAAATTATGCTGAGTGAAATAAGCCAGACAAAAAGGGAAAATATTATCTTATTCCACTTACATGAAATATTTAGAATAGGCAAATGTGTAGAGACAAAAATTAAATTATAGATAAACTAGGTGTGATTGTGTACACCTGTAATCCCAGCTACTTGGGAAGCTGAGGCAGGAGGATTGCTTAAATGGACAACATGGTAAGACCTCATCTCAAAATTGAAAGAAAATAAGTTAGAGGGTACCAGGGACTAGAATAACAGGAAAAATGGGGAATTATTACATGATGAATACAGAGTTTCTATTTGTGGAGACAAAAAATTTCTGGAAATGCATAATGATTATGGTTCCACAATATAGTAAATGTAATCAATGCTACTGAATTGTACACTTAAAAATGGCTAAAACAACGAGTTTTATTACATGCACAGGTTGACTGTCCCTTATCCAAAATGCTTGTGACTAGAAGTGTTATGGATTTTAGATATTTTTGGAGAGTGGAATGTATGCATTATACTCTATCTAGTTCAGCATTCCTAATTTGAAAATCCAAAATCTGAAATGCTCCAATGAGTATTTCATTTGAACATCATATCAGCACTCAAAAACTTCTGGATTTTGAAACATTCTGGATTTTGGATTTTTAGATTAGGTAGGGATATTCAACCTGTACATACATTTTTACAAGGATAAAAAATTTTTAGAAAAAAAATCCAAAATTATATATTGTTACATGCTACAATATATACTAACCTTGAAAACATTATGCTAGACGAAAAAAGCCAGTCACAAAACATCACATATTATGTGATAGCATTTTTGAGAAAGTCTAAAGTAGGCAAATCCATAGAAAGAGATAGTAAATTTTTTTGTTTTTTAGGACTCTCCCATGGGAGGAGCAGTGACTGCTAATGTTGACCAGGTTTGTTGTTTGTTTTGTTTTGTAGTGTTGACAAGTTCAGAAATTAGACTGTGTTGATGACTGAACACCCCTGTGAATGTAGTAAAAACCACTGAAGTTTATACTTGTAAATGGGTAACTTAATATGTGAAATATATATATCAATAAAGCTGTTAAATAAAAAAGAAAATGGTCTCATATATAAACACAAAGTTTTTTTAAGTAAGCCTAATCCAAGGGGTGGGCTAAATAGTGGTAAAAGGAAAAAGTTTAGAGGACTGATAAATAATAATTTAATATAGGCCTCAGTGTGTTAATTAGTTTAACAATTCTTGGTCTTAATATATTTGAGGCACATCAGGATGTATTTGTGTCAGGTAACAAGAAGTTATCCAGGAAATTATATTATCTGGATATATACTCACCTTTACACTATTTACTAAGCGATATGTCAGTCTGCCTGAATATATGTGATTATATTTGTGTTACATGCTAGAGCAGTTATACCTAATCTTTTGAAGGTTATGGATATCTTGACTCATGTCTCTCAGGAAAGTCCACATAGGTATACACTTTTGGTTATGATTCTACAAGAAATATAAACTATGCACCATGATAAAAACATAGACATTTGCTCTAATACAATAGACTGAAGTAGATAGAAGATTCAGGAGTTTTCAAATGGAAAAGATGATATAAGAAATGTGCAGAGAGAGAAATAATGTAAGAAAAGAGCCTCTGAAACTATGGTAAAATTGATATAAAGATCTGGGAATCTAGAGGTTTTATACTCCTATCAACAACTACTGAATGAATAAATCTCTGTCTATAAAAAACAAAATATGTTGGTAAAGCTTATGAATAGTAGATAATGAAAAGGAGAGTTATCAATAGTGATAACAGAATATAACCATACACTAAGAAATATCTATTTTTGCCTTCTTAGCATCCCAGCTATTCATTCTAATATTACTTGCCATAGCCTTATAGAAGTATGTGAAATATAAACTTCAGGGGGAACAAACAATGCAGCATATAAAAAATTTAATACCTATAATGATTTTAAATGAATCATTAAAAAGAGTAACTTCCAGGTTTAATTCCCTGAAGTAAGAGTTAGTATTGACTGCTTTCCATTGATTGTTAAGAATCTTAAAGTTCAAAGAGGAAGATTTCATCATTCCTTTACTCTTAGATCTTGTTAACTTCTTTAATATCTAATAAAATACTAAAACAATTCCACGCATGCTATATTAAGTGTTATTCCAAAGGCTTAACCTTGGAAGCAGTGTATTTTGATAATTCAAGTGGTTGAATTGATCACGGAATTCAGAAATTACTCACTAAACTTCCTGATCCTAAGTTGATCATCATCAGACTAATCATATAAATTTCTCTTATTTGGTGTGATATCTCTGTAAAGTAGGAATAGATATTCTTACCATTTTCTCATGGAATAAGCAGATTTGTCTACATTGCTTACCCTGCCAATAGATTCTTTAGCAGTGGCCACAAAATAGCCAACCTAGATTTAGAAACCAAAGAAACTATATTTTGTCTATAGCAGAAAAGGAATGGTAACACAACTAACAAAGAGACAATAAAATTGAAACCTGAAGACTGTAGCCATATGTTTCACATGTGACTGTTGTTTCTCAATTTTGTTTAACAACTTTGAAGACTGAGGTGTTAACTAAAAAAAAAAAAAATCGACTGGATGCTGTGGCTCACGAGGCCTGTAATCCTAGCTCTTGGGAGGCCGAGGCGGGCGGATTGCTCAAGGTCAGGAGTTCAAAACCAGCCTGAGCAAGAGTGAGACCCCGTCTCTACTATAAATAGAAAGAAATTAATTGGCCAACTGATATATATATATAAAAAATTAGCCGGGCATGGTGGCGCATGCCTGTAGTCCCAGCTACTCGGGAGGCTGAGGCAGAAGGATCACTCGAGCCCAGGAGTTTGAGGTTGCTGTGAGCTAGGCTGACGCCACGGCACTCACTCTAGCCTGGACAACAAAGCGAGACTCTGTCTCAAAAAAAAAAAAAAAAAAATTAATTAGGTTTATACTGGGAAAAAGGAGAGGTTTATTTCTCATAAAGGGTAGCAACCTGTTGGGCAGCCATTCCAACAGGCTGGGAATCAGAGCCCTGTCTGAAGCCAGGTACTTGTGCTTTAAAGAAGAGACAAAAAGGAACAAGATTATATATTGAGCAAAGTGGTCAAATATACATATTCAAGAAGGTATAGGAAGAGTCATGAATATTTATGAAGGCAAATCATTCACATGTAATTGTGCTTTATGTACCCCATCCTGTCATGGCTAGGAACTCAGTTTTAAGGTGTTTCTGGGTCATGTTAGCCGAGAGGGGCCCATTTAGTTAGCACAGGGCATATTATTTTATTCCTAGTTCACAAAAGTTAGTATACTAAAAAGATAAGTGGTTCTTTTTCCTGTTTTAAAAGCTCTCATAGGTTTTATTGAATTGTATTGAATACCTAATATTGAATTACTTTCAAACTGATAAAGTTATATTTCCCTTTTGTTTTAATACAGAGATGAGTGATTCTAGAATTCTAGGAGGAATTTTGATGAGAGGTTTTTGTGTTTGTTTGTTTGTTTGTTTGCTTTCCATATCCCAGCCATTTCCTTTTTCTATATAGCAAAAATAGGCATGATTGGAGAAACCCTAAAATTTCATTTCAGCATATTGGGTAGTTTCTTAAGAATTCCTATTAGAGTCCATAAATGTGTATACCTTTATATGGTTTTAATTGTTTATTCCAAAGTTCTTTTTAGAAGTCTAATTAATCTTAGAACAAGCTTTGAGTCAATGAAATCATCCTATTTATTCAGGTCACCTACCATATAAAGGTCACTGGAGAGGACAAATATATATTAGACTTGCCTCTTAAGCTCAGAGAAGGCCTTAGGAAAAATAGAATAAAAAGGTCGAAAGAGTTTTCTCTTAAATCAATTTGGATTTAAGAGATTCAGATTTACAAATCACTTGATTATTCTGTTTTTGCAGTTTATCTTCCCTTTAAAAAAAAGACATTTCAATTTTTGGCCTTTTAGAGCTAGTGATAAAAGGATTACCATGAATCCTGACTCCACATGTGTCTTCTAAGGTCACTAAGGATGCAGAGAAACTTTATACCTAGATAATATAACTGTAGAAGAATAACATTAAAAAATAACAAAGTAACCTTTATTTAGGACTTACTATGTACTAAGTACTGTGCCTTAACTTTCAATGTTAAGTGCTTAAATTGAAATGCATCATTAGGAGAAATCCATTGTATCATTTGAATTGAGGTTACCAGATCTCATCATAGTACAGTGTTCTGACACTATTATGATGATTGCAGAATGTGGGCTGTAGAGGAGGAGAAGAACATCCCCTTTGGTTTGGAAGGTTTGCTGAAAGATCAACTCATAATAAGGAAGATTAACAAGAGAAAGAGATTACAAATTTATTTACTGTGCACATGGGGATAATCATAGAGTGATTATGTTGCAACCCAACTGGGTTGTATTGCCGTTGCACAGAGAAGAGCCAATATACTGAGATAGTGGGGGTTGCAATGGAGAGTTTATTCCACATAGAGCTAAGTGGGGAGATGGGAGAAATTTCTCAAATCTGCCTCCCCAAGAATTTGGGAGATAGGGTTTTTAAGGATAGTTTGGCAAGAGATTAGGCAATTAAATTTGTTAATTGGGGCAAAATTATAGGGGTGTAGAAATTATTTCTTGTGTTGCTTTAGGTTGATTCTTTAGTGTAGGCTGTGCAATGAATAATAGTAATCTTAGAAGGAAGGTGAATAACTTATAAATAATAGTGTAGCAATTATAGGCCCATTGGCAATAGGAGTGCCAGCAGAAGTTAAGAAAGCCATGAGATTTCCAAATTGTGCCAACTGCATGGCACACTCCAAAGGCATATTTGGAGTCTGTTTAATCGTAGCTTTTCGTTTTGCCAATGTGCAACCTCTAATGAGGGCTATGAAAAAATTGACTCAAGGCATTTTGGGATGAGCTTTTGAGTGCCTTGAAATACTTCACGTCCTAAATAAGAAACAGTTGTCTGTACCCACTGGAGCTTAGTTCTAGAGGCTTTATGGCCTCGTTCAGCTAGAGTCTTTAAAAGAATGAGGGAGTCTAAGAGGGCCCCCTTTTTAGTCTGGTTATAGAGCAAAAGATCGTCAACATACTGAACAAAGGTGAATCCTTGGGTAAAGGTTACAGAGTCTAAATCAGCTTTGAGAATTTGTGAGAATATTGTAGGAGACTCACAGTATCTCTGAGGTATTTGGGTCCATGTTAATTGTTTCCCTTTGAAGGTAAGTGTAAAGAGGAATTGTGAATCAGGGTGCAACAGAATCAAAAAGAATGTTGAGCAGAGGTCGGTTACTGTATCATTAAAGTTACATGAGCTAAAAGGCATTTGAGTTAGTTTCTAGATAAAATATTTGATTTAAGTGCTTTTTAAAGCTAATTAGAATTCTCTTACATATTTTGGTAGTGAAATATCATGACATAGACACACAGACATACACAGACAGAAGCATATGTTATAGCTCTTATAAAGAATTTTTATTTGTCAGCTATTAAATATCATAATGTTTTATTCAGACTATCAATCTTTTAATTATCTATTTTATTGTTCTAAGGGATTATTAGCCAGGCAACAATTTGCCCTTAGTAAGATTTTGCCATTTATGTAAGCATTTGCTGCTTCCGGGGCCTAATACTTATACATGTATAGGTAGGTGTAGCCAGAAAGTAGAGTACTCAGTTCTTCTGAATTAAGGATCCCATGTTTACCTTGAATCTTGGCTTTGGCTCTCAGATTTCTGTGATTAACTTCAGCAATAATTTTTACTTACTCAAGTGTGCGAGAAAAAGGAACAAAGGGAAAGAACACCTAAATCTCTGTGAATTTCTGAAAACTGGAGTTCACACTGCCTGTAGTATTGCCACTTACTGTCAGTTTCTGCCTGAACCAGTCAGATATCTGAGTCCTCCAACTAGATCTTAGCCAGTTAATAATTAGATCCAATATGATCCCCAGCCCAGTTCAGTTTCTGTCGCAACTTCCAGACACAGAATAAAAAATTTGCTCAAACAAACTTGGAGAGCTCAAAACACAAATCTGTGGAGCTTTGGAATCTAAGAGAAAACTTACCCATGATCCCCGGTTGCTGTGAGAGCAATGGATACAATGGCCCCAGCAAGTATCATACTTGGTCACTTGGTGCTCCTGGGCGGGTCTCTATGAGCTCTATTTCAGAACTCACTTCTGACAAATTAAATTTAAGAGTTTAATTGAGCGAAGAAAAAATTGGGCAGCAGAACCAGAACAGGTTTAGAGAAACCACAGTGTTGGCATGTAGTTGAAGAAAATTCATGGACAGAAAAGAAAAAGTGATATACAGAAAACAGAAGTGAGCTATAGAAACAGCTGGATTGGTTAAAGCTCAGTGTTTGTCTTATTTAAACAAAATTTGAACAGTTGGGAACCTTCAATTGACCAAAACTCCATGACTGGCAAATGGGAAGGAGTAGGGAGGAGTGAAGATGAATGGAGCAGACTTTAGCCAGGACAAACAGCTGATATTTTTGCTTTTGAAATTTTTAACTAAAGTACCCTTTTAAATGAAACCAGTAAGCCTTAATCAAGTTTATAGCTTAATCAAAGAAGCATACGTCTGAAGAAGTATGGAACAGTTTTGGGTAAGATCCAGAAAAGCCACAAAAACAGCTCAAAGAAAGAAAAGTCTCACTAGCCATAAACCAGGTATAACCTACATTTTTTGTCCAGCCATATTATCTAGGTTCCTAGCTTTTCAGCTGATCATTTATGCATAAATGTCTAAAAACCCCATATGCCCCCACAGAATACTAGAAATCAAAAGCTGTGCACAAAAGAATACTAGAAATCAAAAGCTGTGTACAATAATCAATAAATGATAAAAGTTATACAAATATCAAACCAGAAGACATTCCCTGCCTGAGAATCAAACCTAGGCTATTGAGGTATAGGCACAGATCTTTAACCAGCAGGCTACAAAGGAAAGTTGCTTTTATTGTTATTCCTGCTTGGGCAATATACAGAGCATTTTTACCTGTTAGGTCTGATTTTGCTCAATTTTATCAGAGAATTTTTAAGGCTGGCAACATTATGGGTCTTTTTAATTGTTTAAGAGGTCTCTAAATTTTATTTTGAAAAATTTAGAAGTCTTTTAAAGGGTCCATTTATTGGCCATTATTAATTAGAATTCTCAATGGTGTATTTACTCAAAAAGTAACTGAGTCCAATAAGCCTTTTCATAGAAAGCCCAGGTAGTAATTTTCTAGATTTAGAGTAAGTTTTTACTATATAAGCAAGAGGTGTTCTTAGAGAGGCCGTAGAGGAGGCAATTCCCATGATTCCCAGAAATTCACTCTCAGAAATAGACTTAAGATAGACAAGAAGGATAGCACCATAAGACAAAGACTCCCCTAAAGTTTGACACATTTGGTGCCGAAAGTGTCCTGCTTAGAATCTTACATGTCCCAGACTCCCAGTCTTTTCAGATTGGCCACCTAGCATGATCCCTCAAAAAACATGTTCCTCCAGATGACAGAGACTGAGGGAGAACATTCCCACTGAATCACAAGACAAGCTCTCAGGGACATGAAACAAGACAAGAAGGAAAAGGTAGGTAGGTTGGTTGGTTGGTCGGTCAGTTGGTTGGTTGGTTGGTTTTTTCAGGGACCTGCAGCCAAGTTCAGGGACCTACATGCCGGTCTAGTCAGAACCATATAACTAGCTAGCCTGCTAGGCTGGTTTAAGCAGCAGGTATATAGGGGTTCTAAGCCTGTTTTCTACCTTATGGTAGCCCTCTTTATGATAGAATGACACAGAACTACAACAACAAAGGAAAGCAACAACAACAGAGGCTATTTCTGAGAGTACAGAGATCAGACAATATGAATATTTATACCTAAAATACCAAAATATATAACAGAGTTGCTATACCAAGACTAGTCTCATACAAAACCTTTTCTCTCATTAACCTTAAATTTGGACAGGCAAGAGACAATAATCTTTAGCATGTGTTCAACTGGATCCCACAAATAAACAGAGGGAAACTAGGAGTCTGACTGGTAAGGGGTCTTACCATTTTGCCAGTGGATCAGAGTCTAGGTTCCTTTCCCCATGCCTTCCAGAAGAGCAGAGCAGCTTTAAAGATCCTGTTCATGACACCAAACTGTAGGGGAGAAGAAAAATTTCCCCTTTGCCCTGGAAGGTTTTCTGAAGGATCTGTTTACAATAAGGCAGATTAATAAGAGAGTTTACAAATGTGTTTACTGCGCACAAGGGGAGAATCACAGAGCGATTACCCAGTATCTCAGTGGAGTCCAGAAGTTTATATACCCTCATTTTAGAGGGGAGTGGAAAGTGAAGGACATAAGTAATTCTGTTGAAGGACAATAATTGGTCCTTAGGGAGGATGAATAGATGGTAGGGGGAACAGTAGGTGGGTCTGGATTTCAGGCAGATAAACTTCAAAGATTTGGGGAGAGCCCATGGTGGAGGGAGAAAAGTAAGAAAGACCTTGAGGCTTTTTCGGTCAATCCAGTATGTTAATATTTTGGGGTAAAAATATTTTTAATTTCCTTCACTAGGTATTTGAATGTTTCTTAAAGTGAAGATTGAAATATATAATCATAATCTTAAGACTTTGCACCAGTTTATTTAAAAATAACTCAAATTTACTTTCAGAGCTATTTTGAAGCTTATTATAAAGGATAGACTTATCACTAATAAAATATAAATTAGAAAGAAGAACCAGAAAAAGAGATGAATATAAAGATGCTAACTAGGAAAGTAGTTATATCTGTATTCTATTGTTGCCTTAAAAACCACAAAACTTAGTGGCATAAACAACAATGATGTATTATTTCTCACAACTCAGTGGGTTTTCTGGACTCAATTAGGTATATCTTTATCTGCTTTCATTATTTCAGCTGCATGAGTCTGTAGTCACTCATGTGACTGAAATAATTTGTCAGCTCAACCACAGCTGGAGAATCTTAAGATGGCTTCACTCAGATGTCTGGGTGGTTGGTGCTAGCTGTTCTCTTGGGCCTTTCTTTCCTCATGTTCTCCCATCATTCCATTGTCTAGCCCAGGCTTATTTACATGATAGTAGAAGTTTACCAAAAGGGTGAAGACAGAAGCTTTGAAGCCTTTTGAGATCTAGGCTTCAGAACTCATACATAATGAATTACTGCTTCATTCTGTTGATCAAAGCAAGTCACAAGTCCAGACCATTTGCAGGTGTTGTGGAAATAGACTCCACTTCCTGACAGGAGGATTTACAAATATATGACCATGTTTTATCTATCACAGTAGTGTATATATAATTATTAATTATGGAATGTGTTTCCAAATGTGCTGAAAATGAGTACTAAGTATCAAAATAAAGGACAAATACCAGAAAATGCAATGTTTATAATCCCTTTATTTTTTAATGATACATGCAAATTATAAAGAATTTAAATAATGCCAAAAAGTAAAAAGGAACTATAAAAATAAAATGTACTTTAAATATAATTATTCAGAAGTAACCGGTATTAACATTATTTATAAAACATTTCAACACCTTTCTATGCCTATTATATAGAGAGAAGATTGGATAGATGTTTAAATGATTGAAAGACATAGCTGTATACAGAATGAGGATAATTCTCTAAAGCTAATATGTAATAGCATTTTATTTATTAATACATTTAAGCAGAAGAAAAAAGAACTGAAAGAGCATATTAACTTTGAAAGAACTATTTTTTATTATAAGAGATATGTGCTAAATAAAGATCTCCCTCTAAAGTTAAAAAATTAGGAAAATCATTAATAGATTAAAGTCATATATTTAACTATTTTTTTAAACCTTTGACAGGATTGCTTGAATTACTGCTATAAAAGATAACGATATTATCACTATTATTTCTTTCCACTTACTCTCTCTTTACCTTCAAATTTCTGTTCATTATATGATTAGGAGATAAAAATGATAGAACAATATCCAGTTTTCACATCAGTGCTTATTTCAAAATCATTGTAAAGATGTAGGAAGAAAGATAAAAAGTCAGCCCAGACTATATCACATCTGGAACTTATACATAGAAAAATAGAGATGCAAGAAACCAGAAATAATATGCAGTCTTTGTTGGAATATTCTGCTCTTCCCTCTGGTATTTTCTTAAATGTCCAGTACTAGAATCTTTTTTCCTAGATAAGGGTTTAGTTCATGATTATGTCGGCACTGTCACCAGGTTTCAGATTAGTTTTCCAATTCAGCATGCATTTGTTCCCAGAACCCTCATCTTGAACAAGATCAGCCCCTTGTTGCATCTGTTCCTCATAGCAACTCTTATAAGATGAAAAAGATAAGCTCTCTCTTTCAGTTTGCATCTGTCTAGATTTAGAGGTATCAGTGAACATTTTTAGGATTTTGGTAATTTAGCATTATGACTTATTCCAGAGCAGCATTGTGAGCATTACAATGCTGCATTATTCTTCTCAAAGATCTTTTGTTTGTCTTTGACTATCGAGCTTTTGAGATTTATGACATGAAGCTATTAATATATCTTTTTTTCTTGTGTGGTTATTGCTGGTGGAGATTTTTTCTCTAGTTTTTACTCTTTTTTGTTTATTTTATTAGATGTTGATAGAAGGGGGAATTCTGCTCCTCTTCTGATATACTTTCATTCTACTGTACTAACCTGGAAACTAAAGGCAATATATTTTTAAAGAAATATCCTTCATGTAAGGGAAAATTAATCACTAAAATAGACAGTGTCCTCAGCCTCATTTTTGTAACAGATGCAGAGGAATTTTTCATAAAGTTGTTTTATGCAAAAATCCTCAATGACATCTTACCTGGTAGAGGCAGGCAAATAGTAAAGTTTCTCTCAGAATAAAAAGGATCTTGCAGGTGCAGAAACAAGTATTGTAAGACAAATTGCTTCCTAACTAAGCTAAATTAGTAACTTAAATAAGATAAATGAAATAAATTGCTAAAATAAATAGGTAAGAAATTGCTTTTTTAACGTAGTAGGAAAATAAGACTCACTATCTAGATTGGCACATAGTTCAGTTTAGTATGAATATATATAACTTTGAGAATTTTTTATGAAAATGTAGATTCTGATTCAGAAGATCTTGGATGGGACCTCAGGTTCTATATTTCTGACAAGCTCCCAAGTAATATCAATGCTGCTAGTATTCAGATCATACATTTAGTAAGAAGATTCTAGACAACTGTAGACTCAGACCTCCTTTACTTGACCAAATCCTTGAGACCAGGGACTGTGTTTTATTTATCTTTGCATTCCTGTTATCCAATGAAGTGACTGAATAAAAGTATGCCCTGAAGTATTCCTTATCAAATAAATGAATTAATGAACCAAATGCATTAGGATTCCTGCTAGGGTTCAAATGAATGAATGATTGAATTGCTATTCTGTCTTAAAATCTAAAAGCCTAACTAAAATTTTTGTTCAGATGACAAACTGCAATACATCACACAGCTACCTTGGACAACAAAACAGTACTTCCCAAATACCTGACAAATTCTTAATTGACCTCAAAATAGCAAATATTATTTAAGTGAAAGAAATATATACAATGTTACCAGTTATCCATTCCAGGGACAAAAATACCTTAAGTAATGTTACTGTAGTGCAATTGATTTTAAGCTATATGATGTTTTTGTGGGCCCACCCAGTTATCTGTGAAATTTACCCTCAGGTAACTGAACAAATTGTCTCTTTAGACTAGTAGTTCTCAATTGCTGGCTGCATTTTAGGATTACATGGGAAGCTTTTAAAAATTCCATTGCCCAAGCTGGACACCCAGATGTAGGACCCAAGTATTTCTTAAAGCTCCAATGATGATTCTAGCATGCAACTAAGATTGAGAACTATTAATTGACAGGGTCCGTGTTTCATTAATTTTTTAACTCTTTAACATTAAATATGTGGTTATGTACTTCATAAATGTTTACTTAACCAACAGATGAATTATGTTATAAGCAAGTATTACCTATCGTAAAACAGTAACATTCTTCAGTATAAAGGGACCATTTTCACTATCTTTATTAATATCCTGAAATTTGAAAAGTTTGAATGTCTTGTTGATATTAATACTGAAAGTTGGTATTTGATACAGATATATATTTTTGATGTTGAGGTACTTTGTTGATACAACTTAGATTTCATATCACTTTTTATCAAGATCTGACATAAATGGATAGTGGTTAGAGATGGACTGTGGCAAAGGTACTTCATTACCATGATGGGGAACTTAGATGTTATTGAAAGTTCAGTACTTGGCCCCAAGGCCAAATCAAAGAGAAGGAAGAACAAGGACAAGTGGTTTGAGGAAAAGGAAAAAGAAATTTAATAATTTGCCAACAAATGAAGGGATGGTAGACTAGTGTCTCAAAAGACCACCATCCTGTCTTTAAGCAGAAAAATAGAGCTTTTTAAAAGGGGGGTTTTCGGTCGGGGGTTTTTGGCTTGGATTTAAGGTACCAGTGTTACACATCCTGTCACACTTTGTGGCTTCAGGCTATTGTTGTTTAATTGGTGGTTTGGGCCAACCTTATCTCTAGTGACCATGATCTTGTGACCCTTGCACAATTCCATTGAGCCATCTGTAGTTTAAGGTACTAAAAACCAACAACAAAGAATACTTTTCTGCCCCTTTGAATACTGGCCTTGGGAAGCAATGCAGGTGTGGTTTTGTTTGTTTGTTTGTTTTTCTGAGACAGAGTCTCACTCTGTTGCCCAGGCTGGAGTCCATGGCGTCAGCCTAGCTCACAGCAACCTCAAACTCCTGGCCTCAAGCAATCCTGCTGCCTCAGCCTCCCAAGTAGCTGGGACTACAGGCATGCGCCACCGTGCCCGGCTAATTTTTTCTATATATATTAGTTGGCCAATTAATTTCTTTCTATTTATAGTAGAGATGGGGTCTTGCTCTTGCTCAGGCTGGTTTCGAACTCCTGACCTCAAGCAATCTGCCCTCCTCGGCCTCCCAGAGTGCTAGGATTACAGGCATGAGCCACCGCGCCTGGCCAGCGGCTAATTTTTTGTATATATTTTTAGTTGGCCAATTAATTTGTTTCCATTTTTAGTAGAGACGGGGTCTCACTCTTGCTCAGGCTGGTCTCAAACTCCTAACCTCGAGCCATCCGCCCTCCTCAGACTCCCAGAGTGCTAGGATTACAGGCGTGAGCCACCTCGCCCTACCTGAATGCAGATTTTAATTCCCAAAAAGGGTGGGGGATTTTAAAGGACAACTCGTAAAACATTTCTTTGCCCTTTTTCATACCTTTACCTCTATTACATAAGAATGATAACAAAGAGATGTAATGTGTTCTAGGATACTTTAGTGGGAAAACAAGGTCGGGAAATCTACTTACTGCTGAGTTGTGGTATCAGCTGTGTTTTTTTGTGTAACCGAAATAACAATGAACTGTTTAGAATGGTGAATATTTAGCTTTTCTACTTTTTAAATAGAAGCACAAACAATTGAAGTTTTAATTTTGACTTATGAAACCACTTCATAAACAGATTTATTATAACAATCCTTGATCTTTAATAGGCTTTCCTCAGAATAAAATTATAACTATATCAAGGATCAGAGTTCTTCATTAAGTTCTTGGTAGTCTATAGTTTATATCTTTTTAAAAAATAGTCTGTTGTCATTAGTTAATCATAGCAGGGAAAAATATCCTTCATTTGGAGCTCTGGGGTCTACATTTTTATGATACCAGAGTAAAGCAAAAATGTGTAAAGATAAGGGGAAAAAATCACTTTTAGATCCTAGATTTGCCCTTCTAAGTAATTATCTTATATTTTGTTTCACTGCTGAATTTCAGAACTGAGGGCATTGTATTTTATGTCTAGGTATCAGCCTGTTATTTGTTTTTCACATCTATTAATAGTTATCAACAGCTAAATTATACAATCATATTTTTTAATTTTGACTTTGAATTATAAACAATAAAACAATATAATACCAAAGCAAGTGTATGATTATAATTTAATAAGCACTTAATTTCCCTTTTTAATGAATAGCTAAAATGCAGGATGGATTAATAGAATTAGCAGTAGACAGAAAAAGTTAAGCCAGGTGCAGTGGCTGACACCTATAATCCTAGCACTTTGGTAGGCCAAGGCCAGAGGATCCCTTAAGGCCAGGAATTTGAGGTTGCTATGAGCTATGATCACACTCAAAAAATATAGAAAAGAAAACAACAAAGTCAGGGGATGGAGATCCTATTTCCACTTCCTTACAAACTAGCTGTGTAACTTTGAGTAAATTATTTAACCACTTTGTACTTCATTTGTCTTATCTAGAAAATAAAGACACAAATCTGCTAAGCTCCAAAATTTTATGGTATATATTTCTAATCTCTGTAAATATTATAGTACTAAATTTTGAATGGCTGAAAAGAACTTCAGACAAGCCATGTAAGTATATATTAAACATTAACTATAAGCTCTCTATTTATGGTTTTTCTTTTGTTTCATTTACTTTCAAGAATTTGATGCTTGCATCCTCATTTTCTATAATTAATAAAATAAAAACCAAAATCTACAGTGCTTTTCAATCAAGCGTGAAACTATTTCATGAATTGTGTTTCAAATTTTTCTTGTTTATTGTTGAAAAGAATCTGTGTTTTCTCACTATATATGAAGTATTTGAGCATTTGGGTGTTTTGAGCAGGCAGGCAAGTTCTGCATGTGACAATACTTTTTTTGTTTTTTCCCAGGAAACCTTGATAGATTGGTGTGATGAAAAGGAACTTAACTTGATATTAACAACTGGAGGAACAGGATTTGCACCACGAGATGTCACTCCAGAGGTGAGATAGTACATATCTTTCTCATATTAAAGGATTAGACTAATCATGTTATTTTAATCCTTTTTACTATTTTTTATATTGTTTTTTAAATTTCGTTAGGTACAACAGTGATTTATAATTCTAAGAATGTGAACATTTTGCTCTGGAAGAATCATTATAAAAAATGTTTCTTGACTTTTTTCTTTGAACTTTAAACTAGAAATGATACAATATGGGGAAGACTGAACTGGTCCAGAAGGTAATCTTTCATTTTCTTGTTGGTCTGCAGTGTCAGCAGAACTTCAGGTACATTGCCAAAGGAGGTGATGGCAGAATTCTGACTGTTAGCATGGCATCTGGTGTGATGTGTTTTGTCAATACAATTCAAAATTGGGTGTGATTTTCCTTTTCTTGAGGTACCCTTGTCATTTGTCTCAAAGTACAGTAGGATGGCTGCAATAGAATATTTATACCAATTTCACAGTACTATTGATGAAAAGGGTTGTATTTTTCATAATTTTAAATGTCAACTGTATTTAAATGCAGAATTTAATAAGCCAAAAAGCAGAATTAATATTGAGGCTTCATACCACAAGAATCACCTTTGTATGGAAAGAAAAATTAGAGAAAGAATGAAGAGTAAGCAGTGTTTACTAATATAGGGAGGGAAAGTCTTTTCCTTTTTAAGGAAGCCATAAATTTCAGGTGTCACTTGGGAGTCATGTGTAAAATATTACCACTTTAACATTGTTTCCTTTACCCTCTAAAAAAGTACTTTTGGCTCAATTTCAACTTAACTATGTCCTTCTATTTTCAGATCAGTACAATATTATATCTGCTACCTTATTAACATATAAGGTACTTTTGCTCAACATCTATTAAATAATTACTATCTTTCTTACATTAGTACAGTGGTTTTCAAACTTTAGACTGCATTAGAATCCATCAATCTGTGTGAAAACACAGATTGCTGGGTCCCATCCCTAGACTTTCCGATCCAGTGAATCTGCAGTGGGTCCTGAGAATTTGTATTTCTAACTAGGCCCCAGGTGATTCAAATGCTGCTGGACCGTAGACCATGCTTTCAAACTTTGAGAAACACTGCTCTAGTATATGAAAATATAATTTTTTTAACAAGTAGTAAAATATTTTCTACTCTTCTGTATAAAAATCTTGGTACCTAAATTTTTTGATATTATTATAATTAAGGTTATAAATAAAATAATTTTCCTTTTAAAGCCATCAACATAGAGTTGAATTGGGAGATTGTTAACTTCAAGTCCATGAGTAAGAAGGTCATCCTTCCACAAGTCATTTTGCTTCTGGCTCCTATCAGGAAATGGTCTTTTGGCCAATTTTTTCTTTCCTTTTGTACTGTGAATAACTAAAAAAAAAAAAAGGGAAGAGTGCCATCTCCTACAGAGATGTGTTTGTGTTTTGTTTGTAAGAAAATTGACTACATATTTGAAGTTCTGGATTTTTAGAGTTTGGATACTTTGTTTCATGTCTTAAGTAAATGAATTTGGGTTTATATATCCCTATATTTTGTGTGATGGTTTGATATTTTCATATTTTTTATATCAAAAAAGTAGAAAAAAATTATCAGAGTATTTATTCATTCATAAGTAAATAACAGCAATATTTTTAATTGTGGGGAAATAATTTACATCACAAAGTACTTTGTATCCTATGGAGCTTCAAGTTAATACCAAAATCCTAGGCTGAAAATTCGAACCTTTGAATTCTGACTTACCAACAAGGTGATCAGAGATGGGCTATTTGACTCACATTTCTGATACCAAATATGTGGTTTTTCTCACACCAACCAATTCTCCAAGTCTCCAGACACTGAATCTCCTTCATTTCATTTCAATTCAGATCTGATACTACCCTACCTACCTGGAGTTAGTGCTAGACTCCAGAGGTATAAGGGCTCAGTCCCACAAGATTGCCTTCACTTTAGATGCTAGTCATGAGAATAAGATTTACCCACGTTTTTGTCCTATTTGACTACAAAGTCAGATGGTTCCCACAACTCCCTACCCACTTTAAGATTTAATAATTTGCTAGAACAGTTCACAAAAATCTGGGAAACACTTGCAAACTACTTACTACTACTAGGTTATTATAAAGGATACAACTAGGGAACAGCCAAATACAAGAGATGCAAAGGGCAAGGTATGGTGGGGAGGAGGTTCCATGCCCTCTCTGGATGCAGTATCCTTCCAGCACCTTGATGTGTTCACCAATCTGGTAGCTCTCATTGTTCAAGAGTTTTTATAAAGCTCAGTCTCCAGCCCACCCCTCTGGGTAGGACTGAAAATTCCAATCCTCTAATCAATTGATCTTTTTAGTGACCAGCACCTTCCTGAGGCTAGTCAGGGTTTTCACCCTAAGTCACCTCATTAGCATAAACTCTAGTGTGATCTAAAGGGGTTTGTTAGGAATAACAGAGGCACTCCTATCACTCAGGAAATTCCAAGGGTTTTAAGAATTGTGTGTCAGGAACCAGAGACAAAAACTAAATATAATTTTGTACTATACCACAATAGAATAGTCATTTAACCACTCTTACTTATTTTCCTATAAAATGAGGTGAAATAAAAGTATTTATTTACCAATAGGTGGCTATGAGCATTCAAAGAGAACTAGTAACTGATATTTTATGTAAGAGTTAACTTATAAGGATTAAATATTCTTTATTAGTTGCTGTGTAACTAATGGACAGATTTGGTAGCCTTTTTTGTATGTAATTAGCAAATTGACAAGCATAGTCTTATAAATTTGAAGTATGTCCAGGAAATCACAATCTTATTAAATTATTTTTAATTTTGATAGAGTAAACTTCATATTGTTACCAAAAGTTCACTATTTGTCCCTGAAGCTGAATGAAGAACAAGGACAAGTAGTTTGAGGAAAAGGAAAGAAAAGTTTTTTAATTTGCCAGCAAAGGAGGAGTATGGCTGACTCTCATCTTAAAGAACCATTGCCCTCCCTTTAAGCAGACAAACAAAATTTTTAAAGAGGAATTTCAGCTTAGGGCTATTGCTGTTTAACTATATAGCATTTCTGGTGAAGACAATCTCGTGACTTCTGCCTAGATAATTCTGTTGAACCATCTCCTGTGTTTAAGAAACTAGAAAACAAAGAACAAAGAATACTCCTCTGCTCCTGTGATTATTGCCCTGGGCAATAATGTGGGTTTTAATTCCTCAAAAAGGTGAGGGTTTTTGAAGAGAGAACTCATAAAATATTTTGCCCTTTTTCAGACACTTACTTCTGTTACATATTCCCTCACTGTCTATTTTATCCTTGCATGTAGGAGAAGGAATGATATAGAGCCGGCTTCCTGATGGATTAGGGAAATGTTTTAGATGGAAGATTTATATTTATTTATGCCATTGCTCTTCATGGTTTGTGCAAAAATAGAATAGATTACCAATTGGAAAAGGTTGTAAGCAACAACTAAAACCATGAGAACTGACAAGGCAAAATGGAAGATACCTGATAAGAGAAATTTTACCCCACTTGGTAAATAAGACACTGGTAGGACTTTGGGTCCATACAGTCACCTTATACATAATGTCCCGAGCAAGAAAGAAACATGGGACCTCTGAGTATGGATCTATTAGTAGCCCCCATAGGTGATCTGAGAGACTAGTTTTTGCAATTTCAGAGTATAAGAAACTATATACAGGAATATTTGCAAAGAATGAGGTTTAGGATGACAAACCCAGCAGCGAGACAGATCAGCAGAAGAGGCGATAGTTTGGGAAATCCTCACTGTGGAGTTGTCTCTGCATCCTGTATACAGAACAAATAACCAAAGAAAGGTGAGCAAAAATATTGATGTTTTCATTTTTCCTTCTTCTTAAACAGATACTTTAGATCACCTAAAGGCTGGCTCATCTTCTGGGGCTCTAGGTCTTCTTCCATGGGACACCTTTTTACTCTGGCATAATGGACCCAAAGTTTTACTCCTGACAAATTCAACAAGGTGTCAGTTGTTAGTAGTACTTCATAGGGTCCCTTTCACTTCTCAGCCAGTTGTTGTTTGGATCCTTTCTCTTTCTAAGCTTTAAGCAACACCTGGTCTCCTGGTTCAAAAGGATAGAGGGGTGCTTACAACTGGGGTGGGGACCTGAAAGAGGCATATTATACACAGTGGTTAGAATTTATCTGTTTTACATATTGCTTTACTCTGTTTTTCTCAACTATGGTTATGTTACCATACTTATCTTGGAGTGCTAGGAAGGGTCTCCCATAAACTATTTCATAGGGGCTTATCTTAAGCCCACTTTTATGGGGTTACCCTTATCTGAAGAAGGGCAAGCAACAACACCTTATCCAAGTTTAGATGGGTTTCCTTCCATCTATTTTGATGAAGAAAAACTTTTGAAAGTTTTCTTTCAAGTATGATTCATTTTCTCTGTTTTTCTTATAGATTGAGGTTTCCAGGATACATGTAATTTCCTTTATAGATGTAGAGCTTTACCTACTTGCTGGGTTACCTCCAATATAAAGGATGGTCCCTTATGACATGGAAGGAAGCCCATACCTCAGAATGAGTTCCTTCAGAGGGATTCTGGTAACTTCAGATACTCTCATTGTTTGGGTAGGATAAGCCTCTACCCAGCCTGAAAAGGTATCTACTAATACACGTTCTAGTCGTTTTAGACATCTGAGTGAAATCAATTTGCCAATCATCAAAAAGTAGGTCTCCACATGTTGGCTTCCCTGTGCATCAGGTTGCTTTCTGTCTTTGGATTGTTTTGAGCACATAAAGGGCAGCTCTGAGTTATTTATTGGATAGTTTGTTAAAAATGGGGTCTTCTTAAATGAAGTCGCACCGGAACCCTTAAGGCCCATAATGTGTGCATTCAAATGAGTGCCTCATAAAGGGGCCAAACCCTTCTACCTTTCAGGTAGGATAATGAGTCCATAGCTCTACTTAGCTTGTGTCATCCCAAGTGTCTGAGCCCCAGTGTTTAGTTTTAAAAGGGGTTTATTATTGATCTAAA